CCCCCACACACACACCGGCTCACCCAAACAAATAAACACACACACACACACAAACACACACGTACACACACACACACACACACACACACACACACACACACACAAACACTTAAACATATGAAAGCGAACCAAATTAACTGTTTAATTCAACAAGCTTGTATTTTTGTGTGGTTCTGTTCTCGTTACACAGAGATCTCAACAAGCGGTCAAGATGTCCAGCCACTGGCCCCAATTCGAGGCAGACGCCGGAGACAGAGACAGGCGTACACAGTGACACAGCTCAACACGCTGGAAAAAGAGTTTTCAGTGAGTTCATTTTGCCGAACTTTTACATCAAAATAACATAAATACATGTATTGCATTAATACTTCTGAAATACAATAATAATAAAAATTAAAACGATGATAATAATAAAAATTGATATTAATTTCTCTCTCTCTCTCTCTCTCTCTCTCTCTCTCTCTCTCTCTCTCTATCTATTCCCCCCCCCCCTCTCTCTCTCTCTCTCTCTCTCTCTCTCTCTCCCCCTCTCTCTCTCTCTCTCTCACTCTCTCTCTCTCTTGCCCTTTTTAACTCTCAGTGGAGCATAGACCATCAACAACATTTCTCCAGCGAAGCCTGTCCTATGCATCCATTTCTAGCTGTTTCCATGAAGTCCCCGCCTTTTGCTTTTAATATCAATATGATTATTTCTACTACTACTACTACTACTACTACTACTACTACTACTACTACTACTACTACTGCTACTGCTACTACTACTACTACTATGATGAATATGACAATATAATAACGAAACAACAACAGCGATACTGGTAATAATGATAAGAATAGGCTAACAATATTAATAAAAATAGGCTAATTATAATGATAACAATAATAATGCTGATGATTATAATAATAATAATAATAATAATAATAATAATAATAATAATAATAATAATAATAATGATAATAATAATAATGATAATGATAAAGCTCACTCAATTGATCCACAACGGACATTTTATGCGAACATTCCAGGAAATCACCAGCTTCAGCATCAACATAGAAAGGCATTCATCACGCACATGCACAACAATGTAAATACGATAATGCAAACTTAATCTCACAAGCGTACACAAACAATGCATATGTAGACATGAACACAGACTCAGACACACACACACACACACACACACACACACACACACACACACACACACACACACACACACACACACACACACACACACACACACGTGCGCGCGCGCGCACGCACCCCCCTCTCTCTATCTATCTCTCTCTCTCACTTTATCTCTCTCCCACTCTCTCTCTCTCACACCCACACACCCACCCACACATACACACACACGCACGCACACACACACACACTCACACTCACACACACACACACATGCACACACAGAGCAGTTTCTCGGCCTCTTCTATATACAGCAAGCACACACATAAAGCATAATCACACACAAAAATGTCATTCTATATCACCCCGTCTTAGATATTGATCCCCTTAATTTGACAGGAGAGTTGACAAAAGAGTCCATATTATATTACTTTGATTTTTAAAGCAGTCTAGAGGATTGTATTTCTTCAAGTAGATTTGGCATAATATGCTTCGCGAAGGGTGTGCCCATTATCGATTACTTTCAGTTCATAATAATAATAATAATAATAATAATAATAATAATAATAATAATAATAATAATAATAATAATAATAATAATAATTGTAGTAACAATATAACTAACAATGATGATGATGATGAAAATCATACTAATAATGAGAAGAAGAATATTAAAGATAATAATACAATGGTATTGCTAATAATAACAGTAATAAAAATAATAATGATGATGATATTTTTTAAATAATAATAATAATAATAATAATATTAATAATAATAATAATAATAATAATAATAATAATATTAATAATAATAACAATAATAATAGTGATAATAATTGTGATAATAATAATAATAGTAATAATAATAATAATAACAATAATAATAATGATGATGATAATAATAATAATAATAATAATAATAGCAGTAATAAAAACATTAATAATAGTACAACGATTACTCTGTAGGCATCTTTCTACATACCTCCTCTCCCCCCTCCTCTGTCTGTCTGTCTGTCTGTCTGTATGTCTGTCTGTCTGTCTGTCTGTCTCTCTGTCTGTCCTATTCACTTCGTACTGTGGACCCGTGCAAACACTCAGTGTGCAGTATATTATATACATGACAAGGACTACTATACTGAGTATAGTAGTCCTTGATACATGAATAATACATGTTTTTGCAATACCGATCATATGAATCTGAAGTTTGGGGCAATTGTGGTTGTATTATAGGCTGTTGTCTGAAGCTAGAGAGGCGTTAATCATGTGTTGGTTCCAATAATCATTTACAATGGGTTTTTTTTTTCACAATTACCCCCCCCCCCCCCCCCCCAATCGTTTTTCCAATATTTATTTTCTTTCTTATCGGTCTCCCAGTTTACCTGTCTGCCCTCTTTGTCCATAGCCCACGTCATTTCCCTCTCAGTTTCTCATTCCTTGTCTTCTTTGCATTGATTTTTTTG